GTCATGTGGACCCCATCAGTTGCAAATTCGGACGCATTTCCACTTATTCGATTCAAACTCAGTTAAACTTAACTTATTTCTTATCACTGTTCGCGAAAACCTTTCAAGGTTGCTTCTATTGTTGAACACTTCGCGACTAAACATGGTTTTGTATCTAGTCATTTTCATATAAGTGGACCTTCACCTGGGGCTACCTCGACTTCAGTCGTCTTGATCATAAACCCAAATTGTCCCTAATGCCAGGCATACAAACAATCCCTTTGACCATTCCCAACCTCTGACTCTACTGGCATTTTGCGTCAGATGGCCCTTTCCGCTCACCGATTTCAAATACCCCTTGCATCCCTGCATTTACTTACGAACCTCTACTGATCAACCAGCCTGGGTCATAAGCTGCATCGATATCTCAGGCCGGGCCGAGCAACCGAATATATGAATCCAACTTTTCTCATACTTTACTATTCCTTTTTCTTACTGATATATCCTCGACGGCCTTTTCGAGACCAAGTAATTTGTAACCTAATTAGCTCAGTGCTCCTTCCATTCTGGTGCTGTTTTTTAAATCCGTATTGGAGACCATTTGCCTTGCTATTTATTCATGTATAAAGTGATGTTTTCCATAAACAGGATTATAAAGTCCCTCGAGAAACCGAACTAAAAGGCATTAAGGGACTAAGTCTGTAAAAAATAATACGAGTCCTTGTGCGGTATTTATTTCGGCAAAATTAGCAAAGTAAGGGATATTAGAAATTATACAAATAAAATAAAATGTATCTCAGAAGTATATTACATATTTACACTGAACCCTTCTGATATGCCAGAAGATTCCTTCAATTAGCAAAGTAAAAATAGGGATTTCAACTAGGTACAATAATGGGACAATTATCAAGGTGCCCCACGGGTGAAAAGCCTGTTAAAATATCACAGGACAATAAAACTATGAATATTTACAGAATTGATTTGAAATTTGAAGAGCCAAATTTCGGTCTTGCGTCCGGAAAAATCACCAACTTGGGGGATTATTTAGTGCTGGAAACAGCCATTCACTGGACACTGCCAGAAGACATCGTATCAGGATGGCCGATGATAAGATACGTCCAGCCTAGCTCCCGCTTAATGCCGAGTCCCACCTTCGGATCCATATATTGATGCAAGCAGAGGATTAGGTGCAGGAGAGGCCGTAGAAAATAATTCGCCGACCCCTGAATCAGGATATACTGCAGAATAGTTGGAGCACACTGAGTCATAGCTCTTTTCTTCGACGCATGAAGAATAACATGTATACGGATTGGAGATAGAAGCTTCGTACTCCTGGGACTGGGTTTTGTAGTTATAATGAAACGACGTAACAGGTTGAATGCCTTGAGCCGGATATGTGTATGATGAGGCACTGTTAATCTGCTGATTGCACACACCAGCCCAAGAAGAATCCGAACAGTTCTCCAAATGATACGGATACCAGGGATACACATGTGATAAGGCATTTTGTTCATAGCCGTCTTGTGGAAGTGAGTGTTGCTGAGAATAGTTTGTAGCACCATTATCGAAAGGTTCATTTTGCTTAAAGTCTGCCGAGGATGGGTACTCCTGGGCACTTGTGTATGGGTAACCGAAGAGATATAGTGGATTTTCAGAGGCAGGCTGATAAGGATTGACGGAATCGAACACTTGATTTGTGGTATTTTGCCCATTTGAAAATACGTTTAGGGTGGAATCGAAATGAGCTACTGCGTCCTCATCGGCTGGTGGAGGAAAAACAGGCTCCTTGCTCTGTAAACCCGAATGGGTACCAGTGTTTGGAACTTGTCCACTAAGAACGCCCTCTATTTCGTTAGGCTTAAGAGAAGGGATTTCACTGAGGCCGGTAAGAAGGGAAAGATCCGCTTTGCTCGCATTTTTGCCCCGACCAGGTTGAGAATGCCCCGAGCATTGATTGAGCGATGAGATACCAATAGCCCGAGATTTCCTTGGTTTCTATAAGATACAGAGGTTGTAAAACATCATAACATCGATAATATAAAATTAACTGATGCAATATAGTATAGGACATATGGCCCACCTGAGGCATGGGACTTTTTGGTCGAGTGATCCTTTTCG